AAGTGGTCAAGATGAAGAAGTTGTTACACAAGTACGCCGATGTTTTCCCGTAAAACGATGCTGACATAGGAAAAACTGGCTTAGTTCAACACAAAATAAACACAGGAGAAAAATTGCCTATCCGTCAGCGGCCAAGAAGATTGCCGGTAGCACGAGAAAAGGAAGTGGAAACAATTATTTAGGGAATGGTGAAGGGTGGTGTTATTGAAACTTCATCTAGTCCATGGTGTTCACCTGTGGTGCTGATAAGGAAGAAGGACGGCAGTATGGGTTTTTGTATTGACTAACGCCATCTGAACGGCGTTACGAAGAAGGACAGCTATCCCTTTCCAAGAATTGATGACACGCTGGACATGCTTACAGGAGTAAAGTGGTTTAGCACGCTGGATCTGAAAAGCGGCTACTGGCAGGTTGAAATTGACCCTAAGGACAAGGAAAAAACTGTATTCTCGACAGGAAAGGGTCTGTGGGAATTTAAAGTTATGCCGTTTGGATTGTGCAATGTTCCAGCAACGTTTGAAAGGTTAATGGAGCTTGTACGTACCGGGCTAACTGGCGATGCCTGTCTGGTCTACTTGGATGATATCATTGTTGTAGACCGTACGTTTGAGGGACACCTTCAAAATCTGGAATGCGTGCTCATGAAGATCCAGAGTGCCAACCTCAAGTTGGATCCAAAGACATGTTCACTATTCAAACGCAAGTTAGCATTTTGGGGTGTGTATATTAGTGTCGGACGAAGGTATCTGCACGGATCCAGAGAAAATTGCCGCTGTCAAGGATTGGCCGGTTCGAAACGACAAGACGCAGGTTAGAGCATTTTTGGGTTTGCGCTCCAGTTATCGGCGGTTTGTGAAGAACTTTGCAGATATAGCCGAACCTCTGCACAAGCTAACCGCGGAGAAGCGACATTTCTGCTGGGATGAAAGTTGCGATATCGTATTCCAGGAGCTCAAGGACCGTCTGTGTAAAACATCTATTTTGAGGTACCCTGATGCGGGCAAGGAATTTATAGTTGACACAGACGCAAGTGATATAGGACTAGGCGGTGTGTTGTCTCAACGGAATGGTGATCAAGAGGTTGTGATAGCGTACTTCAACAAGTCGTTGTCAAAGTCGGAAAGGAACTATTGTGTCACAGGACGGGAATTGCTTGCTGTGATAAAGTCATTGCAGCATTTTAGCAAATATCTTCTAGGCCGGAAATTTCACTTACGAACTGACGATGCTGCACTGAAATTGCTATTGTAGTTTTAAAAAATTCTGAAGGATGAGTTGCGAGATGGATTGAACTACTGCAGGAATACGACTTTGTGATCGAACATCGCAGCGGGAAATCTCATGGCAACGCAGATGCATTGTCAAGAAGACCTTGTCCTGAAGATTGCAAGCATTGTACTAGGCAAGAGGGTAAGGAAGTGATATCTATGAGGATGCTTAGGACAGATCAGCTCAGCAATGAGTGGAAGGACAGCCTACAACATGCACAGCAGGAAGATTCGGACATCAAGCCAATTCTGGAATGGATGAAGGCTAGTGCTCCTAAGCCCAAGTGGAGCGACGTCACAGCGATGAGTTCGAACACGAAAAGCTATTGGGCCCAATGGGACAACTTACTGATTCAGGATGGACTCCTGTGCCGTAAATGGGAAAATGTTCGGAGAAACAGCTGTCATTTGCAAATAGTTGTCCCTAAGGCTAAAGTACTCGATGTTCTACAGCTATATACTACAATGGTTGTTCAGGAGGCCATCTGGGAGTTAAACGAACTTTACTGAATATCCGGGAACAGTTTTACTGGGCCCACTGTCGTGACGATTTCGAGGACTGGTGTCGCAAATGTACAAGTTGTGCGGCTGTAAAGGGACCTAAGACTCGTAGTAGAGGTGCATTGAAATTGTACAATGTTGGTGCAGCATGGGAGAGGATATCCCTTGACGTTGCGGGCCCGTTTCCGGAAAGTGAAAGTGGTAACAAGTATTTTATAATTGTGATGGATTACTTCACTAAGTGGCCAGAAGTCTTCGCCATTCCAAATCAAGAAGCTTCAACAGTTGCAGATAAACTAGTTTATGAAGTCTTCTGTCGTTTTGGAGTACCTTTAGAGATTCACAGCGATCAAGGAAGGAATTTTGATTCTCATATATTTCAGGAAGCTTGCCGAGTTATGGGTACTCAACAACAAGAACAACTTCATACCACCTAGAATCTGATGGATTGGTTGAACGATTTAATCAGACATTGGGGGAAGTATCTAGCAAAAGTTGTGGAAAATTGGCAACGAGACTGGGACAACCACATACAACCGTTTTTGTTGTCATATCGCGCACAAAGGGTTCTGTAGCATCATAATACCCGTTTCTAGTAGGGAAGCCCCATTAAATTGTTAATTTATTTTATTTTTATTATTTGTTGTTATAGCGGCAACACAATTTGTGAAAATTTCAACTGTCTACCTATTACGGATCATTAGATAGGTACACCCCGATGACAGACAGACAGACGGACGGACGGACGGACGGACGGATAGACAGCGTAGGCTTCGCAATAAGGTCCTGTTGATTACCCTTCGGATACGGAAAAATAAACAGTTTTAAATTATAATGACTGTTGGCCAATGAAAACACAATATCCAAATTAAACTATTTATTTGCCATAACAGGCAGTCATTTAAATATCATAATAATCAGAAATTACATAATAAAAAAGCATTCCCTAACATAAGGGTTATTATGTGCACCCATTATTTTTTGAAAATGCGAAAGATTGAAAAACCTACACTGATCATTAGAAACCTATAAATATTCCATGACCAAATAAATAAACTTATGTACTCAACTTTAATATACTTGAGACTTGTAATAATACAACGAATTTATAGATTTCAAATCACCGTATATACAATATGATTGATTGTATTTAAACTAATTGCAGCTTAAATAAAATATTGATAAGAGAGACCCTGAATTTATATTATTTTATCGAGTACTTACAAGTCATAAATGCTTTGGAACAACAATAAAAATAACTACTAACGAATTTTCTAGAATTTAAAGTAATTCATGAAGCGAACGGATAATAATTTAAACATTCAATAACATCTCGCATAAAATAACTTTTTATGATATGAAATTAAATTAGGGAAAAATAGATCATAAAAGTATTTAACTTTAGATATTTTATTTGTTTAACAAAATTTAAACTGTAGTTCCTATCAACTCTTTTTATAAATGAATAGATAAAACGATAAACACCATACAGCCACTTCATAAGTCTTTAAACTTATATTATACTAATCAATATAAAAGTTATAATCGGTGACATATTTGTTATTTTTATACTGGATAATAGGACTAATAAACATAATATATGTCCATTGTATAGTGCTTTTAGAGACAAACTCTAAAGCGTGACTAGGAAGAGGACAATTAAATTAAAACTTTAAAAAATAATGAACATTGTTAGAACTGTCTGTAAGTATATGCCTAGAATAACCATGTACTACAGAAATACGAAGTATAAAAATAATACAAATATATTTCAATAACGTGGTACTTAGGTTTTTCGGGAGTTACTTCAAATATCTAAATAACATAAGACTAACATTTTTTGCTAACCTTTTTAATTTCACCGAGGACAATTTGTTTATTATCAATAATTTTAATACAAAGCGTGTAGCCAATATATTTAATAACAATTAATATCTCAAACAATGAGATTAGAAATATCTCGCAACACCAAAGCGTGAAGAAAATTATGGCGTTCAAACTTAACTTCACACATTCAATGGCACTTGCTTATAAAGACGAAAATTGAAGGTTTAAACACCTAACATTTACATTTAATTGTGCGTTAGACGCCTTAATGAACTAAATATATTATTATAAGAGCTGTATCCATTAAAACCACATATTTATGAAAACAATCATATATCAATGCAATAATACACATTCAATCAACTTGACACCACTCAAGTTTACCTACATTTATATAACGGTTATTGCTAATATGTTAATAATAAATATCATTAACTTCGATTATTTACGTTCTAATATACAACTGTATCTTTATTTTGTAATGAAAATATCATATCAAAATAAAGATACAGTCATTATAAGAGATAGTAATATTTCTCTCCAGGTGTAAAATGATACAAACAGTAAGTATGATAATTTGTGAGTTAAAGTTACTGTCTATAATTTTTCCACGATCTGCTCAGCTCTATACAAAACGAAACAACGTAGTAGTATCTAGCCGGTATTCAGAGCAAATCTTAAGTTTAAACTCAAACTTCTCAATATCAAAATTTGAGTCTAGACCATCATTTTTGTTAAGCAAATTTTGCCATTGTAAAGTTTGACTTGAAGCTCGAGTAAGTCTCTAGTGTTAATTTTTATTAATTTTAAAAACTACATTTAGTTATAAAAGCCTAAAGATACAAACATATGGTGTCAAGTGTTGCACGCTAATCAAGCATTCCATTAAAAATTATGTTTTTTTTTTCAACTTATATGTGGTAAGGAAATTGCGTTTAAAACGCAAATACATCTCAGACACTTTATAGACTAAGTACTAACTAAATTATAGGAATACTAACGCCAGAGGTTATAAACTAAGTGTATGAAATAAAAAACACATTATACTCATACTTGAAATAGACCATAATAATGTATATGCAGTATATTGTTTATGTACTCTGGATTAGCATTCAGTCTTCAGTCATGACTGAAAACAAATGCCGTGTAACGATACTTTAATACGGCAAGATTGTTTTTCGTAACATTAGTTATTGCCTTTTAGAAAGTCTCATAATTTGTCATACCATCATTTTTTTTCCTTTACAAATATATGAAAATACATTACAAAGAAAAAAAAAACAAAATATGAAAAACAGTTCTGCTATCACACGTTTAAATGAGAACTTGCACCAGTAGTATTTTTCTTTATCGCCGTACTTTACACAAACATTCGTTTTCATAATATCTTGAAGCATTAACTTATTAGAGATCCATGCTAAAGGTCTCCTGCGACTCATCGAAGGAGATGGAATTGGAGCGAGGTTTCTGAGTAGGAGTGGTAGGTGTTTGCGACACCGAACCTGGGTTCCTCAGCAGTGCTGCTGGTAAGTTGCACTTAGGCGGAGTTTGTGAGATCGGAGACTGTCGGAGCGACATCATGAATGACCTCTCATACACTATCCTGGTACCTGAAAGTAGAAAATACTAGGTTTAAAAAGGTTAGTGTATATTATTTACACACACATTGTATTATTTACACACACATCCTTAAGGGAAGTAGCCGGTCATTCCCAACACGAGTATCCTCTGATTACTCACTGGTAAGTCTCAGTATTAGGCTGTTAACAAGATTACCGAAATAAACGTATTATTTATTTATTATTTATTTATATTGTATTAAGATTAACGCGACGTGGTGGCGGAGTAAGATAACCCATTACCCCATTTAATCTCATGGATGTCACAAGATTCAACTCTGGAGAACGCCAGAAAGATGTTATGGCTCTGCCGTATATGTCAAATGCCATCTCGTAATTGCCAAAATACCCATAACTACGGAATGCAGCATCAAAGGCGCTAGACGAAATCATAAATCTATACAAATAAATAAATTTGAAGTGTGTGTTGTAATGTCAATGCATATGAAAGTATAAACGGTACTTATAACAAAAATACCCTTTTAAAAATTTTTGTTTTTGTCTGTCTGTCTGTTTGTTCCGGCTAATCTCCGAAACGGCTGGACCGATTTTGACGGGCCTTTCACTCGCAGACAGCTGATGTCATAAGGAGTAACTTAGGCTACTTTTATTTTAGAAAAATAATTAGGGTTCTTCGCAAAGAAAATTAAAACCCTAAATTACCCGCGGGCGTAGTCGCGGGGAACAGCTAGTCTTCCATAAGATATTAAGTTGGTGATAAGATAAGATATTCTATTATTAGCTTTCTATTTGGATGTTTATGTAATGGTACAATTTTTTTATACGATATTCTTTGCAGACATCTGTGGTAAATTCAATGTGCCTGAGTAATTCACTGACTACCCACTCTGGATGTAGAGCTTTGACACATGTAGACATTCCACATATTACTGAACTTGAATAGTTGAATTCTGTGTAGGATTGTTATTTGTTTGTAATAGGCCTCCCCTAAAGATTGCCTCATTTGCCACAGTTGCCACGCTTGACAGACGGTACAAGTGACGTTTTTTTTTATTTATTACACGCCGCTGTCCTTCTCCTAGTTTGTTTACCTTTGTCGCTTCTTACGACACCCACCATGGGACGATAATAATAATAGAGTAGATATACTTACACCGCCACTAATTTCTTTAATTGTATGGTATGTTTTCAATCTTAAATTGTCATAAAACTGTCACTTAACGGACTATAGTCATTTTAAATATAATAAGTACTCTTAGAATTTACACTTTTTATAAATACTGTCAAAATATTTTGCTTCTTAAGATGGACGTTAAATTTTAGCGTCCATTTGATTAACCCAATTTAATACGCTGTTGCTCTGTCCTGTATAAACTGTATTAGTATCATGAACAGAACCAGCCCGAACACATTCTGTCATAAGTAGGTGCAATTTGGGAAGAAATAAAGTCATAGTTGCTATGTGGAGAGGCTCAATATATATTTTTTTTTAAAAATACGTTACCTCCACACTAGGATTTTCTCTTGTTCGTGGAAGCAGTTTACAAACACAAATTTCACAAGGACAAACATCCAGACCCGGAACAATTATTTGTAGGCCATACAAATACTTGTTCCGTGCGGGATTCGAACCCGCGCCCCCCAGCGCAGCAACTCATTGCTAAGCCACTGCGCCACGACGCCGTCAATATTCCGACGAAAAGTTAAAATTTTTAATACTTTGAATTGTTGAGATCATAACCCAATTAAATATTCATAATATAATATAATATATGTATAAATCCATTGTTTATGTATTATGTTTTAAACATTATTATTAAAAAGTCTACTTTTATGGTTTCCATGCAGGCGTAAAACTTGTAGACATAAACAAATAATTTGAACGTGTAAAAGCCTGCAAAATGATAAACTTTTGTATGAGAGTACAAATATATCTATCTATCACTCTGTACATAAAATGCATTACATAAAATTCTGACTGCAAATACAAGATAATACCGAAGTTTATCTGAAACCTACGTAGGTATAAAAAGTAGACATCAACTCTAGCAATATCTCAGCCATTTAATTTATAGAACACGACAATGTTTTATTTATTAATTTTATTATCAGTTAACCGTTCTGTAGGTATGTTATGCATAAAAAATATAAGATAAAGTATATTAACTTTTAAAGGTCATTTGACATGTGATTAAACTAAGATTCCGTGTTTGGATTTCTGCGAGACAAAACGTTATTTTATTTGATTTACAAGTTAAAGAAATTTACGCGGAATACATAATTAATTAATTCAAAATAATTAAAAATATTCCATTTGCACTTTCAATAGTTTCTTAAGCATAATCAGAAATATAAATATATCGTTTTCGAACTTATAAGCATTAGTCATAAGACTTATTGTTACTATGTAAGTTAGATGTAAATATTTTAGAATATCAGTCCTCGTTTATCTAATCTATAAAAATAATAAGTGATAAAAAATCAATATATCTTAATATTTAAATAATAGAGCTATTAGAATTCAAATTTTGTTAACTAAAATGGAATTATATCATGTCTTAAAAATATATCAGCCACTTGACTAATTTTGAAACTAACTAGACGAATGTTTCTGTATAACTGGACTAATAAAAATCGTTGATGTAGATTAATTATTTATAATCCAATGAGCTAGAATAATTAATTGATCGTATCGTAATTAAAGATTACGATACGATCAATCCAACTTGGGAGCAGAGTCTTGTTTTACAATGCACAAGTTCTATTGTAAATATGTGGTAAAAACAAACGATAAAAGCTATATAGTTCCTTTTATTAAAAAAAAATTCTAACATTGCTTTTAAAATTACTAATAGGGGAAGTATTTACCACTTTAACTAAGCTCTAAATGCTTGTGTTAATAATTTTAGTTTACGACATTACACTTATGAGTTTCGAATTCTGTATACGCTACTATCACTTTGTAATTAAATTTTTATTCGGTCATTAATGAGGGAATTTTTACTTCGTATTCCTTGCGTTTTTTTTTTTACTATTTTTAATTACTTATTTTCAGCCAGTTAGTAGTAAAATAATTTAAAAAAAAATCCATTGCAGAAATTTTATCCTACTGTGGGCGGCTCATGCCCAAATGTAATAATTAGCATGTAAGCAAATACAGATGTAGGTATAATAATCGTTATGTTGAATTGGCTTATCACATCGAAGTAAACAGAGTCTCATACGGTGACATAATAAGTTACACGTGTTGTTAAAATATGAGTATCGTGTAGTCATGTTATGTAATACAAACGAATGTAATAAAATAGATATAAATGAGTCTATAATCATGCACCATTAAAGTTTAATCCCATTTTAAATATTTTAGAATTAAATTTGTTTAGACAGAGCTCGATAATGGCCCAGCCATTTGGTAAGATAGCGTACTTTTATTTTTGTTTATCCGTGCACACGTGTTTATTATTATCACGGCCTTGACCGATTTGGTTACACTGAATTGGGTTTACCTCTTTGCAAAATTAATTTTTAAAATTGTTTCTTTTAAAATCGATGTTTGGTTTTACAATTAAAATTCCATTACAAGTATAATAAACAAGTTACAAAATACAGATAAGATAACGATTCATTTCTGTATACAATGTGTATAACCTATATTATTTTATACACATTACACATTTGGGAAGCACGTGGTCTGTCGTTTGCACCAAAATTGTAAGAAGGGGTGGGCGCAAGAAGTAACAATTTCGCGCATGTACGCAGCGCTTTTGCGCACTGGAGCTCTACCGATTCCAATACGTCTCTACAAAAGCTTCTCTACTAATACCTTTGAATGTTATCATTAAAACAAAATAGCACGTGTTATTTAACCTTGAAATAGTATCTTTAATAGCATTTATTGCGAATAAGAATTGTATCTGAGCGAAATATAAATTCAAGGTCGATCACGCCACCTTACTAAAACGATTTATCTAATATGCGTGACGCGGCTAACTCTCCAACTCATAATACGCTAAATTAGACACAATTTCAAGCGTTTGAATCGCTTTTATTCCTGGGTTAATGAACTAACACGATGGTTATTGTCAACAATACACCTAACCTAGTTTTGTATTCAATGTCTGATAATAAATATAAACAGATTAACAGACCCGGCAAGTTATATAAGTATTATCGAATATGATAAAGGATTTTTTCACTGCGCAATATCGCAGTATTTTTGGTTTTAGTTATATTATTATTTTTATAAACCTATTTCGTACGATGATAGAGTAAAAAAATTACCTCCGGGAGTAGTGGAGTAAATTGTGCCACCAGGTGTACTGGAGTAAACATCAGGCATCTGCGCTGGATCTGTGATGAGGACCCTTCTTGAAGGAATTGCTTGGCTGTGTGTTGCCTGCCTAGCTATCGGTGATGCTGACATTCTCAATATATAATTTATTTACTTTTAAAATTCAAAATCACAGTCACTGACACAACTAGTAGCTCGAGAAGACGTGGATCGTGGACTGAGCCGAAGTTGAACCGGCGCCTAAAATAAATACGCCCGCCAGCTTGCAACGCACACTACAATGAAACAATGTAAACATAACACACACGCGCAACGTAATATCAAAACAGACATAGATCAACAGCTAGACTAACCCGTTTATTGAATTTCAATTTCATACTAGTTTAGCTCTAAGAAGTTTTTTCATATAATATGTGTTATGTGGTTTCTTTTTATCACGCTTTTATTAGCTTGGTATGTTTTTCTTGGTATGATTTTCATCCCCTTCAAAACGTCGGATTGATTTGAAACTTCGTACACTTATCAAGTATCAATGACAATGCAATAATTTAAATAATTTGTCCCATTATCCTTGCCAGGATCATCAGGATTAGCGATTGTTTCATCCCTGATATCCGGTAGTGTCTTTGTACCAAGTGCACGTATAGAGTAAAACTTTCCGGATATGGAGCCTGAGAAACGGCTACTACATCCAAGGAAGGCAGCAGACGCTCAAATTTCCCATCTCCCACATAAGTTACCGACTTTAAATTAAAAAAAAACACGAACAACGATTAAAAAAAACTAAAAAAAAATACGTTTTTGTAGATAACCGAACTAAAAAGTAGAAAATAATTTTGAATAAGTTTAAAATAAGAAAATAGTAATTAACATAAAAAATCATTTTATTGTAAAAAAGCGTGGGGTGCTTGATCTCATTTGTAGTAAATATTTTTGTGGATATTTGTAAAATTAGCGTCATCATAAAATATCTGAAAAAGCACTACAGCACTAAAGTCACTATAATGTCACTAGTCACTGAGCTATGTAGCTGTTGGTGTTAAAATTTTAACAAACATATTTAATCTAAAACTTAACCGTGATAGCTAAAAGGATAAGTTAAAATTACACAACTAAATGATTTAAAGTAAGTTAAAACTACCAGAGTTCAATCCCGACAGCGCACAAAATTCGAGGATACGACTATGTGAAGTCCGCTAACACGCCGCGTGTAGTGCATCGTGGCCATCTTTTCCCTAGCTCCTAATCTCTCTCATCATTATTGCCTATCACAACTCCACTACTGACTATTTGCTGGCGCCAAAAACCACCACGTAAAGTAATTTTGACCAACAAACGCACGTACACTCATTTGAAATACATTACATTAGATTATGTGGCAATCAGTCTGACAGTCAATTTTTTTTCTAGGTGGTAGGAGTCCCTTTCTGCCTAGGAGTCCGTATGGATAGGTACCCTTTTACTTTTACGTAGTTCTGCTACAAAAAGCAGTGATTGTTCTAGTCCGAAGGGTGTATAGAGACAGTATAATTATAATTACACAGGTGATTTGAAGTTAGGTGTAGGTATATACGGACTTACCATCACTTCAGTTTTATAAAGAAAATCAGGTAAATATGTCATTTTTGTAAAATTTGAAACGCAATAGGCAATCCATTTTTTTTTTAGGTAGATATTGATCACTTCAAACTTCGTCGTTAGTCTTTGACAACACACACGAAGTGGAATTTTATTTTATTATTAATACTCACACATTGACCAAAGTTAGTGCGTAGTTTTTGTAGAGTTTAAAACGGTTATGGCTGATATTATGTCGACCAATTTATACAGCGGCTTGTTTATCATAGAGTCGACTGGCTGATTATGAGCCGAGTGCAAATCCGGAAACAATAGTTTGAATAAATTATCAGGATTTACAGCGGTCTAGTGAGACTACGGAATAATGCCATGTTGAATATATTACCTAAATACAGTGTTTAAGTAATGTTACGTATCTACTGGAACTGTCACTATTAAAATACTTTTTAAATTTCTATTTTGATGGTACGTGACAACTGCAGCCAACTTCAAACAAAAATAGCTTTATCTGGGCGGATGCGTTTTCACCTCTAAGGACTAAAATGGAATGCCTCACAGTTATACACTTTAACCTTACGCACTTTAGACGCCCATTACACGCCTAGGCAAGAGTCAATCAGTTCGATTAATCATGACTGAGGTTTGAATGATGGAATAATTTGGATATTACACGCTCATGCTGACTGATCGTCAGTCAAACCCAAATTTTCGGAGTGAAAGGACGTACCTATAAACTAAGTTCATTTTCGATTCACCATTTAATTATAATTTTATATCTTGAAAAGAAAAAGAAAAAACGAATAGGAAAAATTGTAATATTTAATATCATTTTACCCATTTTAATTTAACGCGCGCAAATGTTAGACCTCTTGGAGTGCATAATCGATACGCGGCTTTATTTGAAACGCATTTATGGACGAAAAATAAGCTTAACTTTTACATTTATTCGTATAGGGTGGATGCCCCTATTACCAGCCTTTTAGTGCCAATTTCAATTTCCTTTTGTGTATCTAATGCCAGCATAGCATAGGGCTATGCCTTTTGAGTTTTTGGTAGGTACCTATTGAAGGTAAATTTTAGGGGCACTGAAATAAATTCATAACAACTTTTAATTTTAAATCATGCATGTCACAAGTATGGAATATGTATTAAGATAGACGACAACAATTATTTTATTTTAATGTTTTACTTCTTACCTTACTGTGGTTTAGCTTTAAGCAGTTACATTTTATCTTTTAACACTAAACAATTAATTAACATAATATTATAATAAAAATTATGTATTATAGGTACACCGATTTCTTATAATTTAATAATCCAAGTTTTTGAATCTTTATCATCATTTCAGCCCTTCACAAGTCGACTACAGAACATCATCCTCCATAGACTGCCGCAAAGCATGGTCCTGAACCACTTTCCTTTTTATGACTTTTTCATTTATGTTCTTAAGTTATAATAAAATTAGTATTACTGAGTTGTAGTTAATTACATTTATTGTTTGTTTTTGTCTTTCCGAAAAAATAATTAAATATTGTATGGTGTTCTTAACATATACCAAATGTCTGAAAAGCAAGTACGTATCATTTGTTAAACTTTTAAATCAAACACCAATTTTAAAATATAGACGAATTGACCATAACTTACTTAACTATAAAATAAGTTATGTTTTTTTATACAGGATAGGGTGACAAAAGAGCACACAGTCCACCTGATGGTAAGTGGCTACTATGACCCATTGACATCTACATCTATCCTCAATATAGACTCAAGATGCAGATGCGTTGTCACCCGTGAGGACTAAGATGAAATGCCTCTTTGCCAGTAAAAAGGGTCTCCGGTTCTCTACACTCACCATACGAAACACAGCAGCGTTAAGCTACTATTCTACGTTGATTTTCTGTGTGAGTTCAAATTAATGATATTTATTCTAGTTTATGACAGCCCTGATTTACATTACGTGGTTGAAATAAGGTACATCTTATTATAGTTCATTTCAAATAGGATGGCAGGATTCCACTTGAGACTTAGCAATTACAGCTGTAATGTTAATCTATTGTTGTGTGATTATTTTATTGCTTTAACACTTGAAGTTAAGCATCTGTTGATAATAATGAACCAGTATAGCTGGAATGACGAATTTTGGTACTTGAACATTAAAACAAATTAAATTGTAGATAAAAAACCTTTATTACTTTTAACTTAACTATTTTAAATACTTAAACTATTTTAAACTTCCGAGGGATCGGATACAACCATTTATAATAAATACGTGTGAGGACACAGATACCGATGAATGTTCTTCAGAGTGATTGATTAAACAAAATATTAACAAGTTGTTATAAGTATTTAAAATAGTTAAGTTAAAAGTAATAAAGGTTTTTTGTCTACAATTTAATTTGTTTTAATGTTCAAGTACCAAAATTCGTCATTCCAGCTATACTGGTTCATTATTATCAACAGATGCTTAACTTCAAGTGTTAAAGCAATAAAATAATCACACAACAATAGATTAACATTACAGCTGTAATTGCTAAGTCTCAAGTGGAATCCTGCCATCCTATTTGAAATGAACTATATTTACGTCAAACCAAATAACAGTCGGGCGACTGACATTATGCACTCCATAAATTTCCTATATCTAATTACAGCCCCATTAATTTCCACTAAAACAAAATAAAAAACTTATATATTTAAACAAAAATAGCTGCATTACTATGTCTATAGTCACATTCATACAAATCAAAAGGCCTAAAGATGAGCTAATGTAAAATATGCTTATGTTTTGATTTTTAATTTAACACTGTTAGGTTTAAAACTGTGAGGTAATATTTGAAATATACTTTCTTCGAATTACGAAGAATTTTTAGCCGAACATATTTGTAGTTAAGACTACTAGAAATCTTATTTACGAAGTAAAAAGGCGGAAAGGCTGGAATTAGGGGCGTGGCTGATATTAGGGGCATCCAACCAACCCGGGGTTTTTCGTGTCCCACAACTCGGGGAGAGACTGAAAATTTAAAATAAAATGTTTTTCTGGCTGAAACACATTTGGTGGGAGTGGCGACGGGCTGCGCGAGCGCGTAGAAGCAGCCTCTTCAATATATTCTGCGTCCGCCTCCATTGCTGTCTAAGCGTTGACTGACGCGTGATTGACGAAATGCCATTACACGTTCAATCAAAATTCGTGACTGATAGTTGATTGACGTAAAAATCAAAATATCCAGATATTTGTCAATCAATTTCATGCAACCGTCAATCACCGCATTACACGATAGGTTATTCGTCAATTACAACCGTGATTGTTGTAAAACTGACAGCAAAACCTACCGTGTAATGGGCGTCTTACCCTTTAGAACGAACCACAAGAGTGCAAGCACTGTTTTTTGCGGTATAAATAGATAAGAGAGTGGTACGTCTTAGACGGAGCCTTAGGCAGAAAAAGGGTCCTAACAAGTAAAAGGAGTGCTTCGTTTGGAACAACGATGGGCAACAACAAAACTATCAATTATAATTTAAAATTAAAAATTTTGTACAACCTACTTCAATATAAATTA